TGAGTTGCACACTTTTGGTGTCGGGTTGTAAAACCATGGTGGAAGAGACGAAAAAAAAAAGTGAAGGGATGGATGATCTGGTAGAGCTGGTAGTCTACAGCTGCTTTGATACCATATAAGCTTTGTATATACAATTGAATTGTAATCGATTGATACAAGTGTTTAAATAGAGAATAGATAGAGAACTCTATCCCAACTATACAACCTATCTCTACGGATGAGTTACAAGAGATAAGACCAATTAGTTACATCAGACAAATACATCAATTATCTCTTAATATATTAAATAAATTAATTATCTCTAATGCTTATGTCTTTTTTTTCACGACATAATTTTCCTCCACACAATTTCCACATTCTTAATAATGTACGTGTAATATTTATTCAATATTATATTGAAACGGATGTCCTAGTTAAAATTGATTTAGGATGAGAAGGGATACGGTGAACCACAACAGATTATAAGGTACACCCGAGTGTACCTATACACCCGGTATTTTTGTAATTCTGTTGAACTTTGATTCTTCTTCTTCCATCCATATCTGCCACACGCTCAACCTTCACCATTGATATCGCCGCTCAACCTTCACCGACCATTTGCCATCGCTCCAAGCTTCATCATCAACATCAAACGACGAGCAGAGTTCTTCTATTGATGCAATCCGACCAAGAGCGAATTCCATCTTGCTGCAACCTGATTTGTTCTAGTCTCACATGGGTTGCCCAATCACCGACGCTCTGGTCTGTCGGAATTCATGCGTCTCTGATCCGTCGTTGTTCCTCTATCTCCGGTGTTGCAGAGATTCTAGATGACAACGTTAATGCTCTGTATAGACTAGATTATGGTGATATTGACATTGCAGAACAATCTAACGCTTGCGGTATTACTCTCACATACCAAATGAGCATAACCCTTAAATGAAATGAGCATAGATAAATGAGGATTTGAGCGCATTAGCGATTTCAAATGATGTTTTTAATTTTTTGATACTCACATTGTAAGTCGTGTATGCTCATTGATACTGACATTATGTTCATTTTAATATGTCATATAGATTCATATTTCAAAAGTATCATGCTACTCAATATTAAACTCCTAATACTCAATAAAATAAATGTGATGCTCAGTAAAAGTTTATTAATGCTCAGTTGACGGAAACCTTGATTTTCATCTCAATTGAAGATGTTTGATACTCAATGAAAATGTCGTGACCTTCAACTAACAAACTTTACGATTTTCATATTAATGTGCATTGTGTAAGTTACATATGCTCATTTGGTACTGGTATTGTGTTCATTTGTAAAATGTCATATCAATGCATATTTCAAAAGTATCATATCACATTAAATTCGCATATTAAAATTCTAATTATTGTTTATACATATAATTTAATAAGTTTTATAAAAGAAAAAAAAAAGTTAAATAGAAGATATGAAGCAGATATCGTGGTACTCATTGTTAGTCTCCTAAATAGGTCAGATGCTCACTAAAAGTAAACTATTGCTCATTTAGAGAAAGTCGTGATTTTTCGCTTAATTTACAAAAATGTCACCAAATTTTTTTTGGCATGTATTAATTATTGTGCCGTCTTCCTTAGTTGAGCCGGGTGTACATACACTCACATGTATGATATAGGGACTCATGAACAACATATTCATTTCTTAAAAGGAAACAAGAAAATCAAAACCGAACCAAATTAATTATCGTTAAAATTCAAAGAGGAAAGTAAAATAGATGGGGACATGGGGTCATGTAGGACTAGTCCACTCCATGGGGTCATGTTAGGACTAGTCCACTCCATGACTAGTCCAATTTTGACTTAAGAAAATTGAAAAAGACCAACAATACCAACAACTATTTAAATTTAACATTTATGACATGTTTTCTTCAAAGTTATTTTACCGTTAGCTTATTAATATAGGTAAAGTAAACTATTTTTTGGATAATTTTTTTCTTTGAGCATCTTGTATGTTTTAAAGTGTTACTTGATAAGCAGTAAGCACCTCACTCAGGGCCGTAGATGAGGGTGTGCAAGAAGTGCTACCGCACAAGGCCTCTCGACTCAGAAGGCCCATCATTTTAAATAGTCTACATAATATACAAAATCCTTATTTAATTCATTAAAGATTCCTATCTTAGCATTTTTTAAAATTAAAATATTGAATAGTGATATTTATATGTAATTAGAATGCAATTGTTGATTACAATTGTGCAATTTCTTTATTACAGTAAAGCCCTCGTACAGTTTGGGATGAATTTGAATACTACTTTCTCTTTCATACTTTATCATTAATTTACTCATCTTAATATATTCTTTTTCCTACTTTTTTTAATTTACTTTACACCTCTATGTTACCCCTACTATTTTCTTCTTAAAAAGTATAAAAAACCAAAAGAGACTACGGAGTATTATTTAAAAACAATGGGAGTACTAATATTGTGTTTTATAATTCAAGGCCTCATATTCAATTTTGAACGGGGCCTTTTATATATCAGGGCCGGCCCTGAGGTCCTCACTCCTCTATGTTTTATTAAGAAACATGTTATGCTTTTCCATGTTAACAAATATGTCCTTCCTTTATGACATCGCACAATGAAAGTCACAGGAGCACCATACCTGCCCCCACACCCCGACTCCACCACCTACACTTACACCATGAACCCTTCTTACCCAACTCGACCTTGCCCCCGCCCGTCTACCTTGGCCCACAGCCATAGGTAAGCGATCAAGGGTTGCGGGTTAGGTTGGGAGTTGGGGTTGGGATAGGGAAGAGGATGAGTGGTAGGGGAGCGTAGGGCGTTTTAGGGGCGGGTGTAGGGTGTGGGCGGGTAGAGTGGAGGTATTTATTGTGGTGTGGCGGGGGGTAAGTTAGGGACTTTTGTGGTTGGGGTATCGGTGGAAGTTGTAGTAAGGTGGGAGTCGGGTATAATTGACAGTTTAAAGTTAAAGCATATTTTAATAGATGTGTCGTTATTGTAAAGTAAACATAAGTTTATTAACAAACATGTAATAATAAATGTTTATTATTTAACAAACAATGTTTAAAACTAATAAAACAGAAGTTGTGTTTTAAACACTACAACTTAGTTAAACATGTAATTTAACAAACAATGTTTATTAGTCCATGAAGTAAACATGTCTTTAAGAGCTAAAGTTTAAAACACTTTTTTTAAACACTGACAATTTTTACTAATAAATGTTTTTCTTTAAAAAAATTATTTTCAAATCACATTTTTTAAGCATTGTATGTGTATAGTCAGGGGCGGAGGTGGAGGATGGCCAACCGGGTCCCTACCCAGCCCAAAATTTAAAATTGCTTATATTTTTAGTGTAAAAATTCATGTGTAAAAATTTATATGTAAAATTTTTTTGTAACGACCTAACCCAACTTTTACTTGTGGCTGCGTCCCTATGTATAGTCAACATGTACGGTGACACTGTGAGGAAATGCATGCAACATATTTCTGAGGGCCCCAGACATCTTAAACACTAATCGAATTAGACTTTAGTCAAAGACAATATGATTGATTTAATTCGGAGTCTATACACAAAGAAAAAATCTATGTTTCTGCTTACTTAAATGTAGGTTTAGAGGTTGAACTCCAATCTATTTATAAAGGCACTAAGAGAGAACATTTATGTTTGCACGTCAGTCGTTTACTTAATTACGGAGTAGCAATTAGCGTAATTTTATTAAGCAAACAAAGAGACTTTGATATGTTTTACTAAAACTTTAATGTATACATATTAAAGATAAGATTTTCGAAATACACTGCAAAATCAAACATCACCTAAAAAAAGAATGCACAATCAAATTCTCCAAAAAGTACTTGATATTAGATTTTTTTGAATATTTTCTACATGATCATAGAGTTGTCCATATTCTCTATCTATTTGGGTTATATTATAATATATATTTACGGAGTATATATTAGACTTATTCTACAAAAATGTTAAATCAAATCCAGACATTATATTGTTTTGATTGGATAATTGTAACTTTGAGTGAATGCTGACTAGTCTGGCTTATAACCCAAGTGAATGACTGAATGCACCCCATTTAATTTATAAGTTTTGTTTAATCGGAACATTTTTTGAACTAAAGCAAGACAACATTGAAAAATCAAACACTAACAAGACGAAAACTCAATGGCACATTAATTACGAGATTAAAAAACATTTAACACTACTTAGTTTTTGTCCATCGTTTCTTTGTCACGTATTTGTCGTCCAAGACTATTCAAATATGTCACACATTATTAACTAATTATTAAAGGATATCGAAAAAGTGGATATTCAAGTGACCCGACCCATGCGATCGAACTGGTCAAATTTCTGAACCATCCATATTCAACTTTAACACTACTTAGTTTTTTTTTTTTTTCTGAACCATCCATATTCCATCACGCTCATCTATATATCCATCCAGCTTTATATACCAACTCAACGTATATACCGACTCACCAGCTTGTTCTATTTTTTCTTTTTATTTGTCTCATTAAAACATTGTCCTATATTTCATATTAATTCCGTCTCAAATTTATTTGTAAAATTGGCTTTTCTTGATAAATAACTTCATTTTATTCCCTTAATTATGATATCAATTTTTAATCATATTCTAATTTGGAGATTGTAACTTTGAAGAGATTTTAAAGTTGTTTCTTAATGTGTAAATGATAATTATTAAAAATTGAGTCAATTATCGGTATAGATAATTTAACTTTAGAGTCCTTCTTCTTGTACCCACTTTTGTACACACATTTGTACATACCCCTTATTTTGTCTGTGTACACAGACAAACACAGACAAAATGTTGCCTTGTTCTTACAGAATTGTCTGTGTGCACCAGCAAAATATGGGATGGGTACAAAAGTGGATATAAACAGATTTTTTGTTAACTTTAACATTGGTCGACTAAAAATGTTGACATTGCAAATCAATTTGGTACAGAAAAGTATTAAATTGGAAAAACAGTCACCTTTTTCACTTAATACGTACGTAATATTTAATTTCGCACACTGAATTCTGTGATAATAAGAAAATGTAAAGTTGAGTTTAGTTTTCTTCTCGTTGTATTAACCGAAGTTATTATAGAATACAATTTTAGCTATTTTTCATATAATTTTTATTCTATTTTACTAATAAAGTACAAAGTATATATTTTAATTTTTTTATTGAGAAATGGTGCTAAATAGGAGTTTAAGTTTCCGTATGTAATTAAATAAGACCTTGACTTTTAAACTTTTCCATGTTTCCAAAATTGCCCCTGTTTTCTATGCTTAAGTTTTCCTCTCACACCAAACCTTATTTCTCCCCAACGACCTCACCAAACCCTCTCTCTCCTTCATCCATAACTAAGCAGGGCAGCTTCAAGACTTCAAGGTCCAGCGACGTACAAATTAATGGAGGAGTTGAGCTATACTGGCGTTGTAGATGTGGCAAGACAGATCGAAAAAGATGTGGCGTTGCAGCGGTCCGATAGTTTGGCGATCCGGCTATGCGGCCGTCTAGTGGTTCGGCTGTCCGGCGGTGCAGCGGTTTGGCGGGAGGCCCTGGCAAAGATCTTGCAGATCCGCTCCTTTTCCTCCTCTCCTCCTCTCTTTCTTTTCTCCTCTTCTTTTCTTCTGTAGCAATTCTTTTTGGTTTTGTTTGGCAGATCCGTTTCTTCTTGGTTTTGTTTGGCAGATTTGTTTTCTTCTTGTTTTTGTTTGGCGGATCCGTTTTCATCTTGATTTTGTTTAGCTGCATAATGTTTTGTTGTCTGCTTTTGATGTCTGCTTTTCTCCTTTTCGTTTTGCCTAGTAGTGTTTCTTTCTAAGGAGCATTTCCTAATTTCCTTTTCAGAATTGTAATACTCCATTACTGTGTAAAATTATAATGTTATTTATATATTTATTAATACTTATTCAATTCATTTCGTTTAGATAGATTAACGTGTCATTATGGTTTTATTCGAATAGCGGTATTGATAATATATTGTGTTGTTAATAATGAGTGTGAAGAAAACAAATAGTGTCATTTGTATATTTGTCATTGTTTTTAACGATGATCATTTTTATATCATTAACTTTAATACAATATCATTTTTGGTAGTATTGACATTGTCACTATTATTACAATGTCATTTTTGTAACATTGACACTGTCATTTCATTATTGACTTATTTTCTACCTTTTAATTATGACAGTCATATAATGACATTGTTAGCATTCTCACAATTATTTCTTTTTAACAATGTTTACAATAATGTCACATTGGCATTGTTTTTAACAATGTCATTTTTCTAATATTGACATTGTCACGAAAATGTCATTGACATTGTCACGAAAATGTCATTGACATTATCACGACAATCATTGACATTGTCACGAAAATGTCATTGACATTGTCACGACAATGTCATTTTCATTGTGTTGTTTTAATGTCATTTTTATAACATTGACATCATCACTATACGAATAATGTCAATGACATTGTCATTATAATATATTATAATATAAGGAAAAATGAAACAATATCAAATAATGACAATTACAATGTCAACATTAACACTTGTACAAAATGAATTGCAAAAATGACAATGTCAAAGATTTAAAAAATGACATTGTGATAATGGCAATGTCAATTTCAATGCTACAAAAACAACATTGTGATGACATTGTCGAGAAGTAACATTGTTTTTAACGTCATTTTTATAACATCACCATTTTGAATGACAATTATGAGTTTATTATGCGACTTAGCATGAACACTTGATTGAATATTTGACAATTTTCTATACTTTAAGTATATCAATGTCATTAACATCGATATTGACATTGAATTGCTACAATGTTACAATACTATAATGTTATCAACAAAAACAATGATACAATGTCACAAATCTAATTTCAAGGATGCTAAATTCAAAATCGCTGAAATTAAAGAATTAATAAAGGTCCAGCAATTTAAACCACGACTTACTAATCTAATTTGACATTGTTGACGAGTAAAAACATCACAAATTCAAGAAAATGGTTCCAGCAAAAGAGAAAAAACATCGCACATTCATGGATGTCTTCTTCGTGCATATCCTGCAGAATAGTGAAACTGATCGAGCAAGAGCGCATCATACTCAACGAGCTTGTCGTCCTCGAATACCTTTGCAGGTGCGAGTAGCCTCAGTTGTGCGTCAATCGACGCCATCTTCTCAATATTCCGGCGAATAAGAAGAAGACTCGTCGGCGGCTACATCACTCGTGTCGGCAACCACTCCGTCGATAACCAGTGGCAGTGAACACAACAAGGATCTCCGTCCAATGAGAGAGATTACTCAGTTTGTAAACCTGGTCGCCAAAGGCTATGGTAGTTGCCGGTGATGTTGAAATTCCGTCATTGCCAGGCCACTTGTCTCACAGAAAGAATATATACGGATAAGGGTGTTTTTGTCCTTTTCTTTAAAAATTGGTCCTAGACGTGAGTTAAAAAGTTTTGGATCCTATTTAGCTTACTTCACTGAGTTTTAGTCTTATTTATGTCTTCCTTCCTTTTTTATTCATAAATAATCACCAGAATCAATTAATCCAACTACTTCAGTTTGAACTTCATAAATTTCAACAAATCAACGGATTTTAATATTATCAAATGAATTCTATCTTTTTTTCTTTGGTTTTTCATTTTTGCAATTCAATTTCAATCACATAGATTTACATTTTGTAGTAATCATAATCAGTTTCTCACTTTCTCTGGTGTCAATGTTAAGGGAAGTAGTAGTACATAAATTCTTACTCGGTATAAGTGATCTGAGTACTATATATACGTAGTACTTCTCTGCGAAGCTTATTTAATTTTTCCCTCCTAGCTAGACATTCCTGTTCAGCTCCTTATACTCAAATTTCAAAGCTTAGAGATATATTATTGCAAAGATGAAGATATTGACCAGTAGTGGCCTTTGGGGACTGAAGATTCTGTTCATCGCCGCAGGTACAGTGTCTCTTGCCATGGCCATGAAAGCTTCCTGGCCGGTTCTCATGCATGATCTCCCAACCACGGTTCGGACCGGGTTCACAGCCTGTCTCCGGCCACCCTACCTTTACGCCATCATCAACGGCATCATCCTTACCCTCCTCTGCGCCTCTCGCTTCCAGAATGAAAGCCTCGATGATCATCAGAAGACTACGACGCAGCCCGGCCACCAGTTCCGGCCGTTTCTTCCCCGCCCGTCGCCGGAAGTGGTGCCGGTGAAGACGGCTTTGACTAAACATGGACACCCTTTAATGCATTCCGCCGCTATCTCAGAAGAAGAGGTTATAAAAGGTAATAATAATGATTATCCAACATTTGTTAAAGAGCATGTTAGTCGGTCTCATTCATCTGAGTCGAGACGGTCTTCCACCGAGTTATTGTCGGCGGCGGCGGTGGAGCCGCCGATTCCCGACCACAATCTGGCCTTAGAACCGCACGCCAGCCTGGAGGACACGTGGAGGATGATCGCGGAGAGGAGCAACGTGTCGCCGACGCCGCAGCTCAAGAGGCAGCAGCTAAAGTCACGGACATTCAAGGAGCGGTCAAACTACGGCGAGTCGCCAAAGGGGGGCTCGGCGGCGGGGACGAAGATGCGGCGGGAACCGTGGCTGAGTCAGGACGAGTTGAACCGGCGAGTTGAGGCGTTCATCCAGAAGTTCAACGAGGAGATGAGGTTGCAAAGGCAGCGGTCTTTGCAGCAGCACATGGAGATGCTCAAGCGTGGGGCCCGCTGACTTGATTAGTTTTCCGTGTTCTTCTAAAATCGATTAATAATTAATTAATTAATTACAGGTTTGATATATTTGGCTAGCTACTAATTAAAAGGTTTTCTTAAACTTGCTTGATGAAGTGGTAATTAAGAATTGAAAGTGGTGTTTTCCCTTTTCAACGGCGTTTTCATGATGTGATATGGTTGGTAACAGTGGGTGTAGTAGCCTTTTTTCATAAACTATATTATGCGCCGTACCTTATTAGTGGAAGAGTGAAATTGAAGCAAAGCATTATTACTCAAGCTTTGCGTTTGTAAAGGTATGATTTCCTATGATATGTATTGATCCCTTAGCTTGTTTAATTTTATTTAATAAATTGTCGTTAGTTACGGATTCCAGTGTACACTAGGAGGCCGTTTGGCAACCCTCATTTTAGGCTTATCAGGCTTATCAGTCAACTTTTTTACCAAACGCGTAAATTTTGCTTTCGCGCGCTGAATTGTGTAATAAGCCGAAAAAGTAAGGTTGAAGTTACTTTTGTGGCTGTATTGGCTGAAGTTACTCTAGATGATCATTTTAGCTATTTTTCATATAATTTTTTCTTTATTTTATTAATAAAATATATTTTAAAATAAAATTTTTTCGTGCTACCAAACGGGCTCTAGAAGTTAACGTAATTACTACGAGAATAACTATGAAAATTGGATTTATATGATTGATATCTATTATTTTATATAGTAACACGGAGTTACGAAGGATTGACATATCGCTCTCTTATTTGTTAACTAATTATCGACATATCTATTGTTTTTTAAGTAACACGGAGTTACTATCACTACTATTAAAACACTTAATTAGTTCTTAATAAAAAGGAGATCATAGGGCTAATGAAAAATGGAGAAAAAGTAGGAGAAAAAAGTGCAGGGAGCTAAAGTAGGAGAAAAAAGTGCTAAAAATTAATCGTGGAATAGTAGAAGAAAAAAACTTTAATATCTTTCATAGGAGAAAAAAAGTCAAAAAACTCTTTAATACTCCCTTCGTCCCAAAAACAACTTCACAGTTTGACTAGCACACACATTTAGGTAGATTAAAGTTTTGGTTTGACTTTTCTAAAATTTTACTGTTTTGACACTGTTTGGACACTGTTTAGCACTGTTTAGTATTGTTTGACACTGTTTTGATGTTGATAATTTGCCAAATAAGGAAGTGGGAAGAAGTGTGAAGTTAATTTTGGGACATCCATTTAAGAAAAGTGGGAAGTTTTTTTGGGACGGAGGGAGTACATTAAAACATTTAATAAATTTGGAAGGGCTAAGTTGGCAAAATATATTACCTCTGTCTCATTAGAAGGTTCCCGTCCACTATTCACATGATCAACTTAAATCATTTTTAATCTTTTACTTTATAAATCAAATTTTTATCAAATTTACATTTTTATCAGGCTTTGTAGCGGTTTTAATGTAGTTTCTGAATATGTTAATTTTATTTACTAAAAATAATCAAAGTATGAACATGGATTATGTTGCTTTATCGTCAGTCAAGCATCATAAACCGTTCACGAGAACATTCTAGCGGGACAGAGGGAGTATATAGAAGGGCTAATGGAAAAGACTTGGGAAAAACTTGGAAAAAAAAACGTAAAAACATATCTTTAATATCAATCATATTAAATTATTAATGGAATATAATTTTCAAAATAAATGCAATATCAATTCAGTCTTCAAAAAAATCTTACAATACAAAATTCTTCTATAAACAATGAGACTCTAGTATACATAACATGACATTAATTATACAAAATTACTACTACGTCCGTCCCATATTGGTTGTCATGTTTTAATTTGACACGATTATTAATAAAGTGATTGAAAAGTAAAAATATGGTTGAGATTTGAGTAAAATAAAGTGACATGATAAGAACCATATATTTCTTACTAAAGAGTGAAATAAGATATTCATTTTGAGACAATAAAAAAAGAAAGTAGGACAATCAAATCAAATCAAAAAAGAAAGTAGGACAATCAAAAATTCAAAATAGGATGGAGGGAGTATTAAACATCTAAAAGAGGCTCCAAGGCATGACTAAGGGAATGTTTGCAAAAAAAAAAGTTTTTTCAATTTTTGGCTTAGAAAAGTGAAATGAGTATTTTCAAGTGACAACTTCTGCGTAAATTAATCATTAAAAACTAAAAGCCGTAAGGAGGTGGAATGGTACTTTAAACTTGTTTTCCTTTTACTATTACACAAAAAACACTTATTTTACCAAACCACAAACTTTTACTTTTTAGAAGCATTTTTTCTCAAACACTACTAATTTTAATTTTACTATTGAGCATTTTTTTCAAAATCACTTTAAAAAATCATCTTTTTAAAGTAGAAGCAACCGCCTAAATTCTGTAAATACATTTGAAAACTGTTTTTCTTGGAGGAGATTTTTGGCAGACACTACATGTAATCCCTAAAGGGCACATGTGAAGATATTGTTATGTTTGCAATAAACTCATCATACTTATGAGATTTTGTTCAAGTCATGCATCTCACAATGTTGTTTACAAAGTAATCTTACCACATTAATATTTCCATTTTCCTCTACTTTTATTACTTTGCATACTATGAATGTATATGCTCATAAACAAAAAAACAATAACAATAATAATAAGTCTAGAACCGAATAAATTAAATTAAAAAATACATATACACGTCAATTATTTAAAATTATATTTCTCATTTTTTAATGAAATATTAGTAAGCAATTAGGCATGCATTAATGTATGGCGTAGAGTGTTGGGCGGTGAAACAATGTCACATTCAAAAGATGAGTGTGACAGAGATGCGCATGGTGCATTGGATGTGTGGGCATACTAGGAAGGACCGCATGAGGAATGAGACAATCAGACAAAGGGTGAGAGTAGCACCTATTGAAGACAAGATGCGGGAGTCGCGCCTACGATGGTTTGGTCATGTGCGTAGAAGATCGAGTGATGCACTTGTCAGACGAGTTGACATGTGTGGAGAAGAAGTAGGGAAGAGAGGGAGAGGAAGACTCAAACAGACGTGAGTTAGGGGAGATCGAAGTGATATGCTTCTTCTGGAGTTGGATGAGGGCATGACTTTGGAGAGAGCTAAGTGGAGGGCGGGTATTCGTGTGGAGGAGTGATCTCGTATCATCTTTTCTCCTTATCTTTTTTTCCTTGTTTTTTATCCATATATATATAAACATTATTTGTATCCTTTTTATTTTATCATTTTTATGTATATTCATCTCTTTTTATATTACTCTGTATCTTTTTATAATAGTTTATCTTTTTTATTTTTATTTTCTTCTGAATCTCCCATCACAGAGGCATCCAACCAATTTGAAGGATTTCACTTTACGGTACGAACTAAAAGTGGTTGGCCAGAGCTACTCAAGATGACCGATGTTCGACCCAAAAGCTAAGTCACTCTACTTGGTGATGGCACTACTTGTTCGACCCAAATCATATGTAGATTTGCTCCTCATACTCTGAAAGCTGGGTAGGTTATATACAAGTACTTTTCTAGACCCAACATTACAAAAAGAACATAGTACTCCTAAATGGATTGGCAAATTGACTTTTCTGGATCAAACGATTTCATTTTATTCAGTTAATTAGGATGTCAATTTTTAATTATATTCTAATTCGGAGTTTTCAACTTTGAAGAGATTTTTATGTAGTTTATGAATATGTAAATTTTAATTATAATTTTTTTTATTAATTATCAATGTGTAGGATTTCAGAAGAAAATCCTGATGGAGGGTTGGTGGTTGGCCGTGAAGGGGGGAAGATCTAATAGCGGTGGATAGACAGCCGAAGAACATGTCACTGATGGAGGGTTGTCGATGGATTCAAATTACAGATCAACAATGAATCTCCTTCATACGTCTAAAACCAAACTTTCTTGGAGACATAAATATGGTTTCAGAAGAAAATGCAAGGATGAAAGATGAACTAATCGAGCCAAAAAATGGGAAGGAGGCCAGTCGGGACAAATCGGCTCGCCAAGAATTCTGAAGCGAAAGCAACGAGATTGCCAGAGTCAGAGATGGATGCTGGCAGATCAGGAAGAGTTTTGGTGTTTTTTTACTTTTTTGTTTATTTAGCTTTATTTTAATCAATACTTGTTTTCTATTCACTTTTTTGCTTCTAACTCTGTTGTGAATTGGTGGGAGTTCGTTTTTTTTACTTAGGGTTTCTATCATCTTGGTTAGAAGTTGTGTGGCTCTAACAGTTTTTGTCTTCAAAGCTCACATGTGGTTTGCGATTTGATATCCATTGTTGAGGAGGGTGACCATTTCTATGAGTTGAGTGAGAGTTTGGATGTTAAGTCTATGTCTGATGTACATTCGTGTTTTCAGTTTATTTTAATTTAGGCGATTTCCTTTTAAAAGAGCGAAATTCACAAGAATAATTCATACTTTTATGGATTCTACAATAACAATTCTTACTGAGAGTGTCCATAAAAATAATCTGTACTAACAATAGTGTCCACAAAAATAAATTGGAGTGAATTCAATCTAATGCTCATTTAATTAGTACTCTGAACCTCTACCTTCACTTTCCCTTTCATCACTCCTCGTCTCAGACTCTCAGTTAACACTTTTATGTTCCAATCTAGATAAAACCACATATGCATGGTGAAAATGGTGTTGAGATGAAACCGGTTTTCAATTTGATTTTTCCCCGAGAAGAAGAGTGGGAAAGAGAAGAGTGGAAATAAAGATTGAGAGTATTAAACGGACATTAATTTGAATTCACACTAATTATTCTTATGACTACCATTACTAGTTTGGATTATTTTTGTGGACACTTTGAGTGTGGATTATTATTGTAGAATCCCTAAAAGTATAGATTATTCTTATGAATTTCACCCAAAAAAACTTTTAACATTGATTGACAAAACATGATAACTTTGCAAATCAATTTGAGATGGAGAGATTATATTTTGATACAACTTAGCTGATTTACCAAAGTCACTGCTAGATTATCTTTGACATGCCAACATGTGCAGGATGCACAAACAATAATAGTCATTTTAGGATGTTTTCACTTGAATTGAAATTTGTTGGTCTGATCTGGTTTGTTTAAGTTTGGTTTGGTCTGATATAGTTTAGTAAATGTATGTTCGTTGTATATTTTATTATTATGGAAATATGATCTGGTTTGGTCTATTTTTATCTGGTCTGATCTGATCTGATCCGTATAAGTCTGGCATGGTCTGGGACTAAAAACGGTCCAAATAAAAACATTCTTAAACTACAATAAACAAATATTAGTTATTAATTGTAAAAATGAAAGATAGAGGGTAAATCTAGTGAGAACCCCTCCTAAAATAGAAGTTATTATAATGATATTTATATATCCCACCTTTCATTTATTGTTGTCTTTGGATATTATTCACAGGTAGTCATATTCATGATTATTCTAAATTTAAATGTGATTGTTTACAATTATGCATAAATAATTTTAAAAATGTCACCTTATATAACAATATCACTTTAAAGTGAATTCTCATTGTAAGAATGATTTTCATAAGAATGCCCCGACGTTTGTGTGCGATTCAAATAAAAGGAGTGTATGTCTCATGCGAGAGATGCACAAATTTTCAGTTTTACTTTAAGTTGCACACTCAATTAAGTTCAAATAATGCACTTCTTTGCGATGATTAAAACTTTCATTTACCTAAGAATATACCACTATACTTTTAACTAAATATGCTGTGTTGCTGACACTTTAGAGTCATTAGATATCAAATTCAATGTACCAAAATCATTTTCATTTTTACATTAAATCTTATTTTTATGGATCTAAAAAATATATACGGAGTATATTGTCAGCTTACCCCGCTGAAAGTTCGAGAGTATAGAGCTTTGAATTATCTTCAATTTGATATATTATGGCTCTCGTAACTCATTACGAGCAAAAAATTATGACTTCTGGAAAATCACCACTATCCAAACGTAAAATCAGCAAAATTTGATACATACTATAGATTATTTTTCCAAATTTTAAAAATAGGATATAATTACTCAATACTTATGTGACACGACTCAGAAACAGAGAAAAGAAAATCTATCTTATTGCTACGAGTGCCTGTTTATTTAAATTGCATATGAAATATTCAATTCGGACATTATTTAAAAATAATCCACCATATTCGATCCCCCTGTGCCGTTTTTCTGACTCCACCACTGATTGTAGTAGTATTTTTTTTTTGGGGGGAGGGGGGGGGGGGGGGGGGTCAGCCTCTATTATGGTCCCTTTCCAACTTCGATTTGATTCTTTTCTTGCTCCATGCGATAATTTCATGAAAAAGAGAGTGACCCTTTTACATAAATATATATAAATCGGTTATTAGCTGGACAATCATGGAAAGGGATTTGCACCTAATAGTTCGTTACTCTACTTAAACAATGCTTCCCAACTATTTTCATGTAATATACGTATATATTACTACTGCTAGGATATATAAACTACACGAGAATTAATAAACTAAAAACTGTGTGGTTGAAGTTTGTGTAGAAGAGAGAATTAATTGAAACTACAAATTCTTTACTTAAAAGAGAAAGTTGACAAAGTTTTAACGGACGAACGAAATATATATTAATTGGTAATTTGGTATTACATTATTAATAAACAAAAGTAATGGCCCATTATATCCATGTCTATATTAAGAGTGGTTAGATACAATTTATTGCTGGCAAGCTTGGAGTTGGATGGGGTTGTGTGTTAAGTTTTGAGCACAGAGAGTGTGGCCTGGTAACGAGAAAAGATGCATATTTGATTAAAGGTTCGCACAAATCTCATATGGCCTGGAGATTTGTTAGCCAGATGCTTTTGAAGCTCCATTCAATCTGCATCAATCACATCTCTCCCATCCGTACAAAGTCCGCTTCAACAAAGACTAATTACAAATATCTCTACTATTTATTTTGGTGTATGTTCCTCCTCTCTATCATATCCCCTCTTACAAATAGTCAATTTCTGTTACCCCAATCTTCTTCTCATTTAAAATGATGTTTGATCATCTACACGGTAAGTTACCGAGTTAACAGGTTTTAGAACTCCAAAATATTTCATGTGATTTTTTTTTTGAAATAGAAGTAACATCACATACTCTCTGTAATCTTGGAGTCATTACTGTCAAAATAGTTGCAGTGTTGGATATCAGCATTGCAATATTTATTGTCGTTAATGACGGTATTTTTCAAACATGTCATTAAAGACTCCTATTTGTGTAGAAAAACATCATAATCTTATTTTTCATTTGGAAACCCTGTTTACTTTTCTATTTAGTGCATTCCCCCTAATCCATAAACCTTTGTGACACAAGTTTTTTGATGAGAAATGCTAAAGGTATCCCAAAATGGGATACGCCATTCTTATCTCGGCCTGATGTGTGGTCATAAATGGGGCAACATATTTAAGTGGGTCCCACTTAAATGTGTTGCCTCATTTATGGCCACACATTAGGTAAGGGTAAGAATGAGATACCCATTTTGAAATACCTGTAACATTTTTCTTTTATCAGATATGTCATTAAACATTAAAGTTTTCTTTAATTCCTATATATATAGTCGTCATCACATCAATGTGTTATATGATGATGTGCACACGTTAGCATGCTCACTAATATAATGGATTTTTTTTATTTGCATTATTTTAATTCTATTATAAGCCAACAAAAACTATAAAAGGATGAAATTAACCCAGTAACTAGAAAACTAGGACTGTCGTTTTTATTTCCAAAATAGGATTAATTACTGTCATGTTTTGGCAATACCAGACTTTAAATATGACAGTATTTTCCAAACTTGGCAGTAATTACTCCTATTTTGGGAATAAAAATATGACAGTACTATTTTGGAATTTCCAAACTTATTTACTCCTATTTCGGGAATTTCCCTAGAAAATATTTCAAACTAACATTATTTTTTGTCTAAACGGATTGATATCTGAGTTAGAGATGAACTAAAAGAAATACTCCAAAGTACATATTATAAAAATGAAAAGTATACAAAAATTGCACGAATCGAGAACAAGATGTGTTATATATATTTGCGGCATATATATTTTGATTTAAACTAGAGTAATTTCCTGTCCAGTCGGCCAGACGTGGAACCACCGTCCGAACAAGGCTGTTTCGAGCCTTTCCGAATGTTTTGATGATTTTTTTTGAGCACATTCTTTATCAAGTCTAGTTTATTTATATCAAATTAAATTTCAGCTAAAAAATCAACCGGGAAGACAGTTAAATAAATTATTTAAGAAAACTGCGCAGTTAAATATGTATAAACTGCACAGTGGTTTTAAAAGAATTATTTGACTGCCTTCTCGATTTAAATTTTAGCTGAAATTTGTTATGAATAAACTAGACTTGATGAATAATATATATATGGTCAAACAATTTTATCAAAAAATTTCACGAAGAAGGGCTCGAAACAGCCTCGGCCGGACGGCAATTTCCGTCAGGTCGGCTGGATATGAAGATTTGTCTTTAAATTAATTATAATATGTACTCCGTACTACTTTTAGTTTGTTTGTTAAACATTTTTCCAAAATTCAATCAATTTCAGTATTATAAAGGACTCTTAATTAGTTTGTTTTTAACTTATTCATAACATCAACCGCGCTTTATTAGTTATTTAGATTAGTAAATGTTACACGCTATAATTCTTGGAGCGGAGCTTAGTCCGTAATTGGCGGACTTCTAGTTGTACATATATTTTCCTTTTATTCTATTTTATTCTTTCCTTCTTTATAGGAGATTTTGTTGTATAGGAGCTGTATATATGTAACCCCTCGGTGTTTCCAATAAAACAAGAAAAACACTTTGCAAAACTGGTTCGTGTAGTTTAACATGGTATCAGAGCGACTTTGAACTACACGCTACCTTCGTTCACGATATACGACCATACGGCCATGACGACCAACGACAACCAACCGAGGAGGAAAATCAACGACCCAACCTCCCCCTATTACTTGTCCAGTTCAGATTTCCCAGGCCTGAACTATTGCGGCATGACGTTAAAGGGAGAACGGAACTATCGGGAATGGGCGATCTCGATGAAGAATGCCTTGCGTGCCAAACGTAAGGTTGGATTTGTGGACGGATCAATCAAACGACCCACAGAACGGAATGAAGACATTGAGGATTGGATAACGGTGAACTCCATGATAACCGGATGGATCATGACATCCATTGAGCCGGCATTGCGGACGAACATCGCCTTCATGGATGAAGCACGTGATCTCTGGAACGATCTCCGGGTACGTTTTGCCGTGGCCGATTCAATGCGGACATACGAACTGAAAGATCTAATCCGAAATTGTATGCAGAATGGGGCGGCAATCACGGACTATTTCGGCCGATTGAAGAATTTGTGGGAGGAACTTGATGACTACAGGACAATTCCACGATGCGAATGCCAAGGCTGCAAGTGTGAGATTGAGAAACAATTTCTCAAACAGATTGAAACGGAGAAGTGCCATGATTTCTTACTAGGTCTTGACAATGACATGTTTGGAGTCCTGCGTTCGAATATACTAAGCCAAGAGGAGCTGCCGACCCTGATTAAGCTATACAACATCATCACCCAGGAAGAACGCCATCGCAACATGATTCGAGGCCTGGAAGAAAAACCGGAGGTGACTGCCTTTGCTATGAGACAGAGTGCACCTACACAAGACGGCGAGCAGAAACTTGTGTGTGGGTATTGCAAGAAAAACGGACATGATACCGACCATTGCTTTAAACGGACCGGGAAATATCCCGAGTGGTGGTTTGACAACCCGAGAAGGGGACGCGGTGGACGAGGTCGTGGGGCAGGAAGGGGGCGTGGAAGGGCAGTAGCAAATGCGGTGACACACACAGGCCCTGAAGATACTGCCGTACAGCCCAACGAAGATAAAGCCGAGTCCTCTGCCTCACATGTGCCGCCGATGTTCACCAATGAACAGTGGCGTGTTTTTGTGAAAGCTTTGGAGAATTTTCAGGTCACCTCATCTAAAGAAAAATTGACAGGTATGACTACCGACCGTACGTGGCTCCTGGATTCCGGGGCCTCGTACCATATGACCGGACTAGAAAATATTCTTGATTACAAGCAACAAGTGCCGCCGTTGTCCGTCACTTTACCTAATGGGGAAGTAACACACGCTACGTATATGGGATATATACAGATTAGTTCTCATATTAAATTAACAAATGTTTTGTTTGTACCCGGACTCCGGTGCAATTTAATTTCTATAGCACGATTGATTGATGATGCCAAATGCGATATATTTTTCACTAATCAGGTTTGTGTGATACAGGCCCTACCTACGAGGACGCCGATTGGAGCGGGTAGAAGATGCGGGGGGGGGGGGGGGGGGGGGGTCTACTATTTTCACAGTATGGAAGAAATTTGTGCACATCAGGTGGGAATGGTGGACTCAACGGATTTGTGGCATGCACGATTGGGGCACCCTTCAGCTTCAGTAGTGCGTAAAGTTTCCAGTCTTATTAATTATGTTCCTAGCTCTCAGTTAGAAAATAAGGCCTGTGATGCATGTTTGCGTGCTAAACAAACTAGAGCCGCCTTTGATTTAAATTCTGCTCGTGCTATTGAATGTTTTGAAATGATTCACTGTGATATATGGAATCCTTATCAGTATTCTTCTTCTTGTGGTGCCCGTTATTTTTTAACAATTGTGGATGATCATTCTCGTGCGGTTTGGATACATCTGTTGCTTAATAAAGGAGAAGTGGGAACCATCTTGAAACATTTTTTTGCTATGACTAAGAGGCAGATTAATAAAGAAGTTCGTGTTGTGCGAAGTGATAACGGGAAAGAGTTTATTGCACTGAAAAATTATTTTAATGAACATGGGATTGTTTTTCAAACTAGCTGTGTCTATACGCCACAACAAAATGGCCGGGTTGAACGAAAGCACAGACATATTCTGGAGGTGGCTAGGGCGTTACGTTTTCATGCTAATTTGCCTATTCATTTTTGGGGCAAATGTGTATTGGCTGCCGGGTATTTAATTAACCGCTTACCTTGTTGCCTCTTGAATTATAAAAGTCCTTATGAGATTTTGTACAACAAAACGCCATGCTATACTAATCTCCGTGTGTTTCGATGTATGTGCTACGCCCATAACAAAAATGTACTTGGTGATAAATTTGCACCGCGTGGCGTTAAGTGTGTTTTTCTTGGGTATTCTTATTCCCAAAAGGGATGGAAAGTTTTTGATCTTGAAAACCAGAAGCATTTTGTATCCCGAGATGTTCGATTCTTTGAGAATCAATTCCCGTTTGGTTCCACTCTGCCATGCAACGTAAATGAACAGGATGGGGATCGTGAGGCTCACACAGATGGTGCTCCTTCTACTCATATTCAAGAGTGGCCACGTTTGGGTGATGACAAGGATATACATGCTGATGAAGGTGGAACCATCACCTCACATGACACGGGTTCAACCAGGGCTTCACCACCGCATGCATCCTTTGATGACTCCGCACTTCTTGATTCCCGCGAGGCTCAGTCAACAGGAATGTCGGGTGATCATACGTCTACGGCAGTGGGTGATGTGGGGCCAACACCAATTTCTACTGCTTTGAGACGCAGTAAACGCACACGTGGCGTCCCAGCATGGCAGCATGATTATGAAATCCAATTAAATACTGTGAAAATGGTTACTGCCCCCAGTCAACTTCCTACTACGATCGTCTCCTCAGGTACACCTTATCCCTTATCTGATGTAGTGAATTATGATCGTTTTTCTGTGCAGCATCGAGTCTTTCTTGCAGCTATCAGTGCCAACCGTGAGCCCCAGACATACAAAGAAGCGGTTCTTTCACCTCACTGGAGAGAGGCAATGCAACGGGAGATAGTTGCGCTTGAACGTAATGGGACGTGGGAAGTAGAACAATTACCTCCCGACAAACGAGCTATATTCTGTAAGTGGGTGTACAAAATTAAGTATAAGAGTGATGGATCCATTGACAGATATAAAGCTCGTCTTGTGGTGTGCGGGAATCGGCAGGTTCATGGAATTGACTATCATGAGACTTTTGCGCCTGTTGCCAAAATGGTGACAGTACGGACTATTTTATCTGTTGCCGCTGCACGTGACTGGGAACTGCATCAGATGGACGTTGACAATGCATTTTTGCATGGAGACTTAGGGGAGGAGGTTTACATGCATTTTCCACCAGGCTATTCGGCATCTGCTCTCGGGAAAGTATGCCGACTGATAAAGTCTTTATACGGGTTGCGCCAGGCACCCCGATGTTGGTTCTCTAAACTCACCCAAGCTCTTCATTCTTATGGCTTTATACAGTCCGGAGCAGATCATTCCCTTTTCACTTTTCGTGCATCAGGGAAAATATTATGCATTTTGATTTATGTGGATGACTTGTTAATTACAGGCAATGACCATCAGCAAATTCTTGATTTTAAACTTTACTTGGGTAAACATTTTCCTGTTAAGGACTTGGGTTCTATGAAATATTTTATTGGCATTGAAATAGCACGCAACCCCACTGGGATATTTCTATGCCAGCGAAAATATGTTCTGGATATTTTATCTGAAACTGGTCTGCTAGGAGCTAAACCTGCGTCCTTTCCAATGGTTCAGAATCATGGGCTTCAACTTGATGCAAGTCCATTTTATGAGAATCCTGAACAATATTGCCGGTTAGTTGGGAAACTTATCTATCTCACCCTCACTCGGCCGGATATTTCCTATTCTGTGCATATACTTTCCCAATTCATGCAGCAACCGCGCATTTCGCATTGGGAGGCTGTAGTTCGTGTATTACGGTATCTTAAGGCACACCTAGGGCAAGGAATATTTTTACGACGTGATTCAAATCTTTCTTTAACCGGGTTTTGTGATTCGGACTGGGCGAGTTGCCCGACTACTCGACGCTCTATTTATGGATATTTTGTTATGCTCGGGTCCTCTCCTATTTCATGGCGCACCAAGAAACAAAACACGGTTTCGAGATCTTCGGCCGAAGCTGAATATAGGTCCATGGCACTATTAACATGTGAGTTATTATGGCTCAAGAGTTTGCTTTCGTCACTCGCGGTCTGCCACTCTCAACCGATGCGGCTTTTCTGTGACAATCAGGCGGCTCTTCACATTGCTTCTAACCCGGTCTATCACGAGCGGACTAAACATATTGAAATCGATTGTCATTTCTTGCGGGACCATATTAGTTCTGGCGTCATTCTACCTTCCCATCGGTCCACTACCGAACAACTAGCCGATGTCCTCACCAAAGCTCTCGGTCAAAGACAGTTCGAATATTTGTTGTCCAAGATGGGTATTCGGGACCCTCATAGCCCATCTTGAGGGGGGGTGTTACACGCTATAATTCTTGGAGCGGAAGCTTAGTCCGTAATTGGCGGACTTCTAGTTGTACATATATTTTCCTTTTATTCTATTTTATTCTTTCCTTCTTTATAGGAGATTTTGTTGTATAGGAGCTGTATATATGTAACCCCTCGGTGTTTCCAATAAAACAAGAAAAACACTTTGCAAAACTGGTTCGTGTAGTTTAACAGTAAATTAAACAGTTTGATTAATAAAATAACTCGATCATCATATCAGCGTATGTGTTCATTAAATAATCGTTTTCAAATTGATCATCCACTTGTGAACTTGGTAACTATGAAAATAATTGAATGAGTTGATATGAGCAAGATAATACTCCACGTGGATGATGAATATAAAGCATCAATATCACTCTGTCTCTTGCATGATATCCAAATGACCACTTGTCAGATGCAGACTATACATTATGCAACCACTCCCTACATCCTATTAATTCAATTCCTAGCTTAGCTTAGCTTAGCTTGCTTTTAGGTTGATGAGTATTTCCTTGTTACCATCATATCTAGTAATAGTAATTTGTTAGGTTACAGAATCGTATGTTCTGAAATGTTCCCTATATGAGGGGCGCAAAGGAACATGCAAATTTTTAGCTCTATACTAGACCAATTCGAAAGAACCTAGGTATATATGATTCTTTGGAAGCACGCACCTAAATTTGCATTATATTTCAAAATATTGTAAACCCTTTGAGATATATAATTATTGTACAACTTTGTAGATCAGTAACGTAACACCATAAAGCCTAGCGTTTTGGAGAAATGTATTATGCGTGGTCCTCTAAATAGAGCAATTAAACATGCACGCAACTCTAATAATCAAGTAGAGAAGGATATATCAACAAAAGATGGATACATGCATCTAAATTACTTGGGAATGTTCCCGAAAATATGAGTAAAAAAATTTTGAAATTTCAAAATAGGATTGTTATGTTTTTTTTAATTGTTGGGAAGAAAAACATAGGAATTGGGAAGGTGGGTGTAGTCCATTGGATGGCCATCTACCCCCAAATCTCTCCTTTGTGGAAGGTCTTGGGTTCAATTCCCACAAAGGGGAGATGAGGGAGGTCTTGCTCCCAATGATTCTTCCTACCTTCACGGAGTTGCTCAGCGGCTTATAAGGGAGATGATGGTAATGAAGATAGCGGGTTTGTGTGGTGGGAGGAGCAGCCTGAAAGGTGATGTAAGTCCTGCTGGATTCGTCCTTTGGAGCAAGTACTGACGAGGTTGACTGTGATAAGATCTGGATTTAACTGTCTAGGGGCTTTGAAAGGTAGTTCATAGACTCCAGGATTATGCATGGAAGCGTAAACCCTGACACCTTGATTATAAAAAAATAAAAGAAAAACATAGGAATTCTATTTTGAAATTCTAAAAGTTACGTACTCGTATTTTAAGATAATCTTCCAAAATACTTGATAAATTTAGTGTAAGAACCGCTTCACCAATTTATACCCAAAGGGTATCCAAGCACCACTACACTCAAAAAATGGAGGAGCGAGCAACAGCCACCCTTAGATCGAGGAGCAGTGAGTGTTGGTGATTTTAGTATCACCAGGTTCATTTTAGTGTAATGGAATTTACAGATTACCAATGGAGTTCAAGTTTAATTTTAGACAAGTTAGGAGGTGCGGAGCGCACACTTGTACGAAATTAAATTTAAACTTGGTTCGATTAAATGGCGGGGGTCAAGGGGGCTGCGCCCCCTTGCGGGGTCCAAGGGGCAGCGCCCCTGGTGGGGTCCAAGGGGCAGCGCCCCGGACCAAAATTTTATTTTATTAAAGAAATAAATATGGAAATTTATTTTCGGATAAACATGTCCATATTAATTATTTAATAGAATGACTTTCTGTTAGAGTAAAACTCTAACCGATTGGCCTTATCTCTTTGGTAATCAGAAGAATTCGAGTTCTACTAAAACTGCTAGTTCGTGGTCTATATATTGGTGTCTCAGTTTTAGACTGTCTCTCAGAGTGATTATCCCCATAATCTAAATTTCGTGTAACCCAGGCATAGGGTCGAAATATTAGATTCGGAAAGTGATCACACGATACTCTGAGAAATCCGCCAGATTTTCCAAAACAGTTTCCCAACTCCCCAGCTTTATAGAGAACAATTAATTCTGCATGATTTGATGATGTGGCAGTTAATGTTTGCTTCATTGATCTCCATTAGATAGCGGTATCACCATAGGTGAATACATATCCTGTTTGTGATTTTACCTTTTGTGGATCAGACAAGTACCCTGCATCGGCATAGCCAATTAAAGTGGCATTTGCACCATTCTTGAAATACAATCCAAGATCGATTGTACCATTGAGATAGCGGAATATATGTTTGACGCCATTCCAATGTCTTCTTGTTGGTGAAGAACGGTACCTGACTAATAAATTTATAGAAAAAACAATATCTGGTCGGGTATTATTAGTCAAATACATAAACGCTCCAATAGCACTCAAATATGGTATTTCGGGACCAAGGATTTCTTCATCATCTTCACAGGGTCGAAAAGGATCATCATGCACGTTGAGAGATCGAACCACCATTGGAGAATTGAGTGGGTGAGCTTTTTCCATATAAAACCGCTTCAAAAGTTTCTCGGTATAATTTGATTGGTGGATAAAAAATACCATTTCTCAAATGTTCAATTTGAATGCCGAGACAAAATTTTGTTCTCCCAAGGTCTTTCATTTCAAATTCTTTCATGAGATATTTAGCAGTATTTTCAGTTTCATTGGGAGTTCCGATTATATTCAAATCATCAACATATACTGTAATTATGGCGAATCCTGATTCAAATCGCTGAATGAAAACACATGGACTAATAGGATCATTTTTGTATCCTTCTTTGATCAAATATTCACTTAGACGGTTATACTACATGCGTCCAGATTGTTTTAATCCATATAATGACTTTTGCAATTTTATGGAAAATAAATCTCGAGATTTCGAGCTATAAGCATCAGGTATTTTAAAGCCTCCAGGAATTCTCATATATATGTCTGTATCGAGTGAACCATATAAATATGCGGTCACTACATCCATTAGCCGCATTTGCAGCCTTTCAAAGACAGACATGCCAATTAAAAATCGTAAAGTAGTAGCATCAACTACTGGAGAATACGTGTGACCAACGTGTTGATGCATCAATGAGCACCATAAAGTATCGAAAGGATCCACACGGAGGGGCAATTGGCCCACAAATATCTCCTTGAATTCTTTCTAAAAATGCAGGAGATTCAACTCCAATTTTGTATAAAGATGACCTGATAATTAATTTGCCAAGAGAACAGACAGTGCACGAGAAATCACTTGATTGTGGAATTTTGACATTATTTAATGAATGTCCAAGTGAATTTTGAATAATTTTGTGCATCATAGTGCTGTCTGGATGACCTAAACGGTCATGCCACAAGATAAAGGAATTGTGGTCATTAATTTTAGATACCATATTTACCTCAATTGGACTGATATATGTATAATATAGTCCGGAGGAATATGCTGGCATTTTTTCAGAAATGTATTTATTGCCAGATCTATTTGTCGTTAGACATAAATATTCCTTTTGATTTTCAGACATGGTTTCAATGTGAAAACCATTTAGACGCATATATTTGAAACTCAAAAGATTTCTCCGTGATTTACCGGAGTATAAAGCGTCTTTAATTGTTATTTTTGTCCCTTTTGGGAGAATCACACAAGCTATTCCAGAACCTTCAATAAGTTTAGCAACACCTGAGATTGTATTAACATTAGCATCAACTGATGTCATATGAGAAAAATAATCGCTATGTCTCAAAATGGTGTGCGTTGTGGCACTGTCTATCAAACATTGTTCAAAGACACTTGGAGAAATTTTAGTTAACTCCATATCTTTAAAAAGATAAAAATGAACAAATACTAGTTCAATACTGTAATATAAACAAGAGTTAATTCCCTAAATAGGACTAAAACAATAAACAAATGCACAAATAGGACTTCCATGTTTCATAGGACTAAAAATGTATTTAGTTGACAAAATTGCCCTTAATGATTTCTAATCTATTTACAATTAAAAAAACAAAAAAAAACCCTAGCAGATCTCCCAGCTTTTGACGGAACAAAACTACCCAACTGCCGCCGCCAATAAACAATCTGCCACCACCTAACTGCCGCCGCTAGAAAAAAATCCGCCACCACCCAACCGCCTCCCTTTTTGGTGCCGCCACCGCTGGCCTTTCCGATGTTTCCACCGCTCTTTCAAATGCCACCACTCCACCCACTGCACGTACAACCATCTCTGTCAGTTTTGTAGATGCAAATTTGCCATTTTGTTACCTAAAAAATAATGCTATATATTAGATTTGCCATAAAAGTGGAATAAAATAAGAATATTTCTGCCATAATATTTATATTAGATTAGATTTGTCATAAAAGTGGAAGTATGTTGTAATTGATGTCAAAGTAACTGTTTTTCTGCCACAAAAGTTGGCAAAATATGAACCCAATATACAAAAAATTATAAAACGAAAGGGATTTCTCATTAAAAAGTTGACAACATAAAAAGATAATTTTGCCATCTTTTATAAAAAATGAACATTATATTGGCAGTTTCTCTCATAATATTTGGCAGTCCATTTCAAAGAAAACAATATTTTTCTGCCATAATGTCATATGAAAATCTGCCATATAATTGGCAATACTGTCAAATGGACGTCAAAATACACATTTTCTTCCATAATATATTACATGAAACTGTCATAAATTTGGCAAAATATGAGCTCAATATCCAAAATCGGAAAAAAACAGAGTTTTTAATCAAATCAAAAATTTATTGAAAACCAGAAATCCGAACTACAAAATCAATGCCCAAAAACCCAAAAAGTTAATGGCAAAACTCAGAAAATTGAATCAAATCGAAAAGCTCTACCAAAAAACAAGGAAATTAGTGAATAATTTGGCTTCACTGTGTAGGAGGGGAAGGAAGAAGAAGAAGAAAGGAGGAGGAGAAGGACATATATTGGCTGGAATCTATGTCCTCAATCATTTGGCTTCACTGTGTCCTCTCGATTGCTTTAACAAGGTGGTTTGCCAGCGATTGATGGGCTATTTGGGACAATTAATTTCAGCGAAATTGACTCTCCCACTTCAAATCGGATAGCCTATATAACCAAAACCGGTGTCGGACGGAGACCACTTCAAAAGCTTCACCCAGTTGCTTACTTTACTCTCTATCTCTGTTGCTTCTTTTGTTACTTAATTCTTTAATTTTCTTTGTTTCTTGTATTTCATTTTAGAGAAGATAATGGAGTATGTGATATACGTATATATACACATTAGATATATTTTCTTTTGTTTTGCAGTGTAGAAAGACGAAGTAATAGAGTATGTGATATACATATATGATACATTTGATATACTACGTACTAGGTTAGGGATAGGGAGAAGGGAAGATGGAGCAAAAACAAAAGGAAAAATCAAAAAGAAAAGAAAAAAGGAAATCAAATTTTTGTGATAAAACTATAAAAGCCACATGTATAAAATGAGTTGATCTGGCCTTGATTTATTTGATTCAACATGTTACTTGCACGTCATTTGGTTTTAAAAGATTGTTTTCAACAAGTAGATAGATAAATATGACACTTATTTGAGTAGATGGACCTAAGTGATGGTTTAGAGATAGTACATGGGCTTATTTGACCCTTTTCTCCTTTAAATATATCTTCTATCACATTTTTATCTATCTATTTATTTTATTTATTTATTTATTTATTTATTTATTTATTTATTTATTTATTTATTTATTTATTTATCTACCTACCTACCCACCCACCCACCCACCCACCCACCCACCTAATCTATCTATCTATCTATTTATTTGCCTTCATATTTTTCAACTTAAAACTAAACATAATAAAGAAATTTTCTTGGCAATTTCCTCATCTCCTCAACATTTTCCTAGATCTAAACATACCCTAAGTGTTTCCCATTGGGAAAGTTGGTCCATCTTTTAGCTTATTATGTATGTTCTTCAATACATTGTTGATTTTATTCTTGAATCTTTTTTATCTTTCTGATAGAGAGTAGGAGCTCAGCTTGGAGGAAGAGAGGCCGAAGCCCCCGTGGGTTTACCGAAGGCGGGGACAGGCTTGAGGCCACCTTCGTGGGCTGGCTGCGGGCCTTTTAATTATTTTTATTCTTTTATAATTTTCTGGATTTGTTTCCTATTTGGAGTTAATTAGGATTTCTATTATTTTGTTTCCTATTTGTTTCCCAGTTTGGAATTAGTGGATGGGTATTTAAATCCCTAATTAGGGTTCACTCATATATATGTATATATGGAATTTGAGTGTGAAAGAGTTTCTTATTTGATGGAATTTGATTTTCCTTCATAGTTAAAAGTTAAAACTGAATAAAAAACTTGTTTCCTTATATTTTCCTTCACCAGCATTCTCAATAAGCCCTAATGCTCAATTCTCAGATATATATTTGGGAAATTTCCCAAAATAGGAGTAAATGAAGTTTGGAATTCCAAAAGAGGACTACTACGTTTTTATTCCCGAAATAGGACTAACATGACAGTATTTACTGCCATCGTGTAGGCGTGATTGCCAAATGATTGCAGTACAGTGCATTTAATATGTCAGTATTTATTATAATTAATGGTAGTATTTTTCAATCATGACAGTATTTTTCATACATGGCACTAACAACTCCTATTTCGGGAAGAAAAACATAGTAGTCCTATTTTGGAATTCCAAACCTCATTACTTCTATTTAGAGAAATTTGCTCTATATATTTTTACAACTTGAATCCATGCCATTTTTGGTATACCACGGCTCCTCTTTGAGCCCCCAACACTCCAGTCTGAATTGTGTTGTTGACTATATTATTATTATTTTATCATAAGACATCTTAGTCATAGAGGGTTGTGCTTCCTTCTCACAGCATGGGTTTTATGACGAACCCTTGGGCATTTCTTCGGGTACTTGGACATCACAAGTTACAGGTTTATTCTGCTGTCAGCTGGATATGAGCCTTTAAACGACGTAATCCAACTGTGTGCTCAAGAATCATCTTCATGTTCAGAACAAACACCATGCAACAATGATGATGGAGTTTTTCTTTTCAGTGGCCGGTTTCTTTCTTTACCAGGGTAAGTTATTTCCACGCTGCTGTAAAAAAATTGCTGCCTCCTGCTTGAGACTGGAGAGTGATATGTTTTCTGTATGTAGTAGTTCTATATCATACAACTGGTTGTTTCCAAGATGTGCTGCTGCAATCCATCACGGGGGAAGGTGAGAGTTGTAGTTCTTTACCCTCCCTTTCTTCTTCTATTTCCTGCATATATGATGTAGAGTATTAGTTTCAAATACTCGATTAGAAAGTTTCCACTTTAAGCTCCATGACAATCGGGTTATTCCACTTTTGGTGCATGACTATGAATTATTTGCAACTTTTACTCCTTTGCTGTCACGTATCAGGAAAATTAAGTGTTAAATTCGTAGTTGTGCACCAAAAGTGGAGAAAAATGAAGTCATGGACCAAAAGTGAGAATAGAGTAGAAAACTGGAAAACTTTTATTAGTAGTAGGACCAAAAGTGGAAAACTTTCTTACATATTTTCATCCCGATGCAATTTTGGTCTCAACTATCACCCAGTGGGTCCACTGCTGCTGCACTGCAAGCTGGAATTCCTCAGGTTTGTTTTGCTGATCCACATGATCTTATTATTGTAGTTTACCATTCTTTTGCTTAAATCTCTGACCAAAGCATGGATGTTTTTTGAGCAGAGGGGAGGATTCTCTTTCTTTAACTAATTTATTCAATTTGTTGGTGTTAGATTAGCAAGTAACTATATATTTACTTAAACAATAAAATAACCATATCTTTACTTAAATAATATTGCGTAGTACTACCTCCGTCCCATTAGAAGGTTCCCGTCCACAGTCCACTATTCTCATGGTCAACTTAAATCATTTTTAATCCTTTACTTTATAAATCAAATTTTTATCAAATTTACATTTTTTTATCAGGCTTTGTAGCAGTTTTAATGTAGTTTCTGAATATGTTAGTTTTATTTACTAAAAATAATCAGAGTGTGAGCATGGATTAAGTTGCTTTATCGTCAGTCAAGCATCGTAAACCGTTCACGGGAACCTTCTAGCGGGACGGAGGGAGTATATTTCTATACAATTTTTCATCTTCACTTCTTATCCAACCATCTAATGTAAGAGAAAATTAATGAAATAAATATCACTTCTCCCCTCCCATTCCCTTCAAAATCCCTCAACCAAAAAAGGTTCAATCAATATTATTACAAAAAGGGAGATTTACCTAAATAGGACTAAATAAAAGGATAATTGTAACAATAGGACTTTAAAGTTTAAATTCCCAAAATAGGACTAACTCTTCCTATTCTATCATTTCCTTTTTTCTTCTTAATAATAGGTTTTTAAACAATCATTATAAAATATAAAAAAATCAAAATAAAAAAATCGTAAAAAATAATTAAAAAATATACAGACCTCAACCACCACCTCAGTCACCTTCCAGCACCGCCACCTCCGGTCGCCGGAAAAGATTGCCAAGTTGGGGAAAAATGTCATAATGATGTCAATTTTAAAAGCGGGATATTTTCAAAGAGTAAAAATGCCATCTTCATGTCATTTTCAAAGAAATGTGGCATTTTTTTACACAGGCGATTGGAGCTGGTGGTGCTAGGAGGTAGAGGACGCGTTGGTAGTTACCTACATATTTTTTAAATATTTTTTAGGTATTTTATTTTATTTTTATTTTTTAGGCCTTTTTAAAATGTTAAATATTTTATTTATTTATTTTTTAATTTTAATTTTTATTTTTTCACGTTTTTATTATTAATTTATAAATATTTTATTATTTTTTATATTTTTATAATAAATAAAAATATGATTTTCTTATTAATAAAATAAATCTATTGGAAATTGTAGGAAGAGGGTACAATGGGAAGAAGGGACATATATTAGTCCTATTTTGGGAATAAAGACTAAAGAGATTGTACTCGTATTGTTGAATTTTGGGCTTATTTTAGTCGTTTAAGGGCTAATACCCGTTACAAAAATCACTTCAGCAGTAATTAGTCGGGGCTAGGCAGAGATTCTTTACAACAACGAGCATAACAAGAAGAAATGCCATAATAATGTGTCATTAACTAATGTATGTTTTATAGGAAATCTTATATCTTTATGAGCTCTGAATAATCTCGGCCCAATGTTCTGCTCAGTTTCTGATATAAGGAAACCCCATACACTAACTCTGCCCTTGCATCATTCTACTTCTTATAAATGTAGACACTCATGACTTTCAAATTATAGTTTAGTGTATAGTTCATTATTTAGAGTCCTATTACTGAAAGGTGCTTGGCTGAATGACTGGATTTGCTGAAATATAAAGCGTTGATAAAATTCACTTCAGCCAAATAACTAATTCGCTTGTTAGAGCCTATTTGGTAAGGCCTAAAATGATGAAGCTGTTAAGTCGGCTGAATTTGCTGAAATTGTGCCTACAATAGCTTAATTATTCAAAATTATACATTCAAAAATACATTTCTTGAAGAAAACACTATCTAAAAATGAAGGAAGAAATGTCTTTTTCTTTAATTTCAGCAAAAGGTAACTCCAGCACTGTTTTTTTCCCACTACGCAGTAAAATATGTTAGAGTTTGGTAAAAGAACTGGCTGATATGGTTGACGAATAGGATAACCTAACAGAATACATACAGATAACACTACCAAATGGACTTTTAAGTTTTAAGCTGGTTGCTTTTAATTTATCTGGAATATCAGGTTATTTACGTATTCATTTATCTTGGTAGGTGATATGTCCATTTATGCTGGATCAGTTCTATTGGGCAGATAGGATGTTTTGGCTTGGGGTTGGTGCAGAGCCGCTGAAAAGAGAGCACTTGGTACCGGACACAAATGATAGCTGCGGCAGCAGCATCAAAGAAGGAGCCAAAATGCTTGCGAAGGCCATAAACTTTGCTCTCTCTTCTCAAGTTAAAGAACGGGCATTGCAGCTTGCAATCACTCTGTCTACTGAGGAGGTACTACTCTCCTGTCTCTAATCCATTACACCATCACAATGATGCAGAAGCCCCCCCCACCCCCGTGTTTCACCATTACAAAGAAAGTGTTGGTGATTTTAGTATCACCAGGTTCATTTTAGTGTAATGGAATTTACAGATTACCAATGGAGTTCAAGTTTAATTTTAGACAAGTTAGGAGGTGCGGAGCGCACACTTGTATGAAATTAAATTTAAACTTGGTTCGATTAAATGGCGGGGGTCAAGGGGGCTGCGCCCCCTTGCGGGGTCCAAGGGGCAGCGCCCCTGGCGGGGTCCAAGGGGCAGCGCCCCGGACCAAAATTTTATTTTATTAAAGAAATAAATATGGAAATTTATTTTCGGATAAACATGTCCATATTAATTATTTAATAGAATGACTTTCTGTTAGAGTAAAACTCTAACCGATTGGCCTTATCTCTTTGGTAATCAGAAGAATTCGAGTTCTACTAAAACTGCTAGTTCGTGGTCTATATATTGGTGCCTCAGTTTTAGACTGTCTCTCAGAGTGATTATCCCCATAATCTAAATTTCGTGTAACCCAGGCATAGGGTCGAAATATTAGATTCGGAAAGTGATCACACGATACTCTGAGAAATCCGCCAGATTTTCCAAAACAGTTTCCCAACTCCCCAGATTTAACAATCGAATCTAATATTTTTTCTTGTTTCGGAAAATCATGGCTGAATCTGTAAAAGAGATGACTTCCAAATTCGACAAGTTGGAGAAATTCCAAGGAGTTGATTTCCGTCGCTGGCAAAAGAAGATGCACTTTCTGTTGACCACACTGAAGGTGGTTTACGTTCTGAGTACGCCTATGCCAGCGTATCACGAAGATGAAACTATTGAGCAGTCAAGGCGTCGTTCCAAGTGGGAAAACGATGACTACATCTGCAGGGGCCATATTCTAAACGGTATGTCTGATACTTTATTTGATATTTACCAAAACGTGGAGAATGCGAAGGAATTGTGGAATTCACTTGAGTCCAAGTATATGGCTGAGGATGCTTCTAGTAAGAAGTTCCTTGTTAGTGATTTTTATCACTATAAGATGATGGACTCAAGGCCTGTTATGGAACAATACAATGAAATTCTTCGCATTCTGGGCCAACTCACTCAACATAATATGAAGATGGATGAGTGCGTCACAGTAGCGATGATAATTGAAAAATTACCACCAACATGGAAGGATTACAAGCGTGATCTGAAACATGGGAATGAAGAGTTGTCTCTGTTACAACTCGGTAACCACATACAGATTGAGGAATCACTCCGCATTCAAGAAGGTGACAAAAATAAGGCAAAGCCTGATGTTGGACAGCCTATTGTCCACATGGTTGAAGTAAACAAAAACAATCAAAATCACAAGGGAAAAGGCATCAAACGCAAGAATGATAGCCGAGACAAACCAAATAAGAATCCTAAGGATCTGGTTTGTTGGAGATGTCAAAAGACGGGTCATGTTAAGCGTGATTGTCGAGTGAATCTCAATAAGAACAATGTTGCAAATAGTGGTGGAGGAAACAATGGTGGTGGAAACAGTGGGCCTAAGGACTCTACTGCATCTAGAGGAGGTCAGAATCTTTCTAACCCTCTTTATAATTCTACTCAGAATTATTGTTCACTAATTCCTGGTTCTTTTTATGTACAGGATGATGACCGTACATGGTGGGTTGACTCGGGTGCCACAAGTCATATGTGTAAAGATCGTCGATGGTTCGAGAAATTGACACCAGTTGATGATGGTTCCACGGTGATGATGGGTGATAAGTCGAGTCAACCAATTTGTGGCTTTGGAGTTGTTAGTCTTACGTTTACTTCGGGAAAAACAATAAAGTTGTCTGATGTTTTATTTGTTCCTAGGCTTAGTAAGAACCTTGTTAGTGGTGGTTGTTTAAATTCTGATGGCTTTAAGCAAGTCTTTGAATCGGATAAATTTATTTTATCTCGATTTGGCACGTTTGTTGGTTTTGGTTATTTTACTAATCGTATGTTTTGCTTGAATTTGGTTGATACTTTATCTTCTGTTGGAAATTTTGTGTTTGTATCATCTGCATCATTTACTTCTTCAATTGATAATGCCATGCTATGGCATGCTCGTTTAGGTCACGTTAATTTTAGAAGAATGCACGAAATGTCAAAAGATGGATCAATTCCTACCTTTGATATCAATACAGAAAAATGTAAAACTTGCATGTTGACCAAAATCACAAGACAACCTTTTCAAAATATTAATCGAAATTCTGGAATTTTGGAATTGATTCATAGTGATCTTTGTGATTTTCATTCAACTCCCTCACTTGGCAACAAAAATTATGTCGTAACTTTTATTGATGATTCAACTCGGTTTTGCTATGTGTATTTGTTGCATTCTAAGGATGAAACCTTACAAAAATTCAAAATATACAAAACCGAGGTGAAATTGCAATTAAGCAATCCGGTTAAATGTCTTAGAACTGATCGGGGAGGGGAATATATGGATACCCAATATTTCCAATCAGTTGGTATCATCCATGAGACCACGGCACCATATACACCACAACAGAATGGTGTTGCCGAAAGGAAAAATCGAGTTTTAAAAGAAATGGTCAACTCGATGTTGTCTTACTCAGGCTTGAGTAAGGGTTTTTGGGGGGAGGCAATGCTTACCGCATGTTATGTCTTGAATAGGGTTCCAAATAAAAGGAACAAGAAAACCCCATATGAATTATGGTTCAAAAAGTCTCCAAATTTGAGTTACCTCAGAATTTGGGGCTGTCGGGCAGTTGTCAAACTAACCAATCCCAAAATAAATACTTTGGGAGAAAGGGGAATTGACTGCATTTTCATAGGATATGCTGAAAATTCCAAGGCATATAGGTTCTATGTTATAGATCCTAATAATTCGGTTTCTGTACATACCGTGATTGAGTCGCGAGATGCGATTTTTGATGAAATGCGTTTTTCATCAATCCCAAGGCCTAAGGATCTGATTTCTAACAGTAATGAAGGACAAATTTCAGAAACTTTAGAAGGTATATCAGATCCGGAACCCCAAGAGGTCAGGAGGAGCAAACGGGCTCGAATTGCTAAAAATTTTGGCTCCGATTTCCAGCTGTATTTGGTGGAAGGATCAAGGGATGAGGTTGGATTTCAATACTCGTATTGTTACAGTATTGAAGGAGATCCAAAGACCTTTAAAGAGGCCATGGAATCCCGAGATGTGACCTTTTGGAAAGAGGCAATTGATGATGAATTATCATCAATTTTAGAAAACAATACATGGGTGCTATGTGATTTGCCACCAGGTTCTAAACCTTTGGGTTGCAAATGGATCTTCAAAAAGAAGATGAAGGTAGATGGAACTATAGATAAGTTCAAAGCACGTTTGGTAATACAAGGGTTTAAACAAAAACCAGGTATTGATTATTTTGACACATATGCACCAGTGGCTCGGATATTTACCATTAGATTGTTGGTTGCTTTGGCAGCCATCCACAATCTGGTTGTCCATCAAATGGATGTCAAAACAGCCTTCTTAAATGGAGAGCTTGATGAGGAAATTTACATGAACCAACCAGAAGGTTTTGTTATGCCCGGTAATGAGCATAAAGTGTGTAAGCTTGTCAAATCCTTGTATGGTCTGAAACAAGCACCAAAACAATGGCATCAAAAGTTTGATGAAGTTATTTTATCAAGTGGTTTTAAGCTAAACCAATCTGATAAATGTGTTTACAGTCGGTTTGATTCAACCGGGTGTGGTGTGATAATTTGCCTATATGTTGATGACATGCTGATTTTTGGCACTGATCAACTTCAAGTTGATGAAACGAAAAGTTTATTGTCATCAAGGTTTTCCATGAAAGATATGGGGGAGGCTGATGTAATCCTTGGTATTAGGATTAAGCGGTTGAACAAAGGAATTGCTATGACGCAAGCACACTATGTTGAGAAAATTCTCAAGAAATTTAATTATAGTGAATGTTCTCCCGTGAGTACTCCCATGGACCCTAGTGTCAAATTAATGCCAAACAAAGGCAAGGCAATATCACAATTAGAATACTCTCAAGCTATAGGATGCTTGATGTATGCCATGACAAGCACTCGTCCGGATATCGCCTACGCGGTTGGGAGGTTGAGTCGGTATACTAGCAATCCTAGTACTCAACATTGGCAAGCAATTCAGAGAGTATTCAAATACTTCAAAGGAACCATGGATTATGGAATATGTTATCTTGGATATCCCTCGATTCTAGAAGGATATACTGATGCAAGCTGGATAAATCACCTAGAAGATCATTCTTCTACAAGTGGTTGGGTATTCTTGCTTGGGGGAGGTGCCATTTCTTGGGCCTCTAAGAAGCAAACTTGCATTACAAATTCAACAATGGAGTCTGAATTTGTTGCTTTAGCTGCTGCCGGTAAAGAGGCAGAATGGCTAAGGGATTTGGTTTTTGAGATTCCATTATGGACAAAGCAAATTGCACCCATTTCTATTCGTTGTGATAGTGCTGCCACGTTGGCTAAGGCCTATAGCCAAGTGTATAATGGGAAGTCTAGACACTTAGGTGTTAGACACAGTATGATTAGGGACTTAATCATGAAGGGTGTAATTTCTGTTGAGTATGTGAAATCACAACAGAATTTGGCGGATCATTTAACTAAAGGTCTGGCCAGGGACTTAGTGCACAAGTCTGCGATTGGGATGGGTTTAAAGTCCATTTAATTCCATAATGATGAGACACCCAATTCCCCTCTAATATAATATTAGAGGTTGAATTCAATGAGGAAAGCTCATACTTAAGGAATGGAACACATGCATTTTGTCATCCTAGGTTAGTGTGTTCGGACCTGTAGTAAAAGGGTTGAATATATATTCTTAATAATTCCTTTGTTAAAATGTAAGCAGGTACATGATTAAAGGAATTACCTATATGATCGTGAAGTGTAGCCGCACTTCGAAAAGTTGGGACTTGACTTTTATACGATTATGAATGGATTGGGACACTCGGCTTAATAATAGTGTCAAAGTTTTGAACTAGTTGTTTATTTGAACTTATGTGTATGTTATCTTCATGTATTCAAATGGGTTGAAGGGTTCAATTCTTAGAACACCCTGATTCTCGAGTATTTGGAATGTGTAATGTACTAATATGAAAATTCAATCGTTTCGATATTTTCATGTATGCATAAGTTTGGTTGTCTCTTATTCTTGTTTATGTAGATTCATGGTTACACTAAAATGGGGGAGGATTGTTGGTGATTTTAGTATCACCAGGTTCATTTTAGTGTAATGGAATTTACAGATTACCAATGGAGTTCAAGTTTAATTTTAGACAAGTTAGGAGGTGCGGAGCGCACACTTGTACGAAATTAAATTTAAACTTGGTTCGATTAAATGGCGGGGGTCAAGGGGGTTGCGTCCCCTTGCGGGGTCCAAGGGGCAGCGCCCCTGGCGGGGTCCAAGGGGCAGCGCCCCGGACCAAAATTTTATTTTATTAAAGAAATAAATATGGAAATTTATTTTCGGATAAACATGTCCATATTAATTATTTAATATAATGACTTTCTGTTAGAGTAAAACTCTAACCGATTGGCCTTATCTCTTTGGTAATCAGAAGAATTCGAGTTCTACTAAAACTGCTAGTTCGTGGTCTATATATTGGTGCCTCAGTTTTAGACTGTCTCTCAGAGTGATTATCCCCATAATCTAAATTTCGTGTAACCCAGACATAGGGTCGAAATATTAGATTCGGAAAGTGATCACACGATACTCTGAGAAATCCGCCAGATTTTCCAAAACAGTTTCCCAACTCCCCAGATTTAACAGTGAGGCCGGGTCGAATTAGGAGAAGAAGGGTTTTTCGGCCAGCCTTAATCGCAGACGTACGGGAAGCTAAGGGAGGAATAAATAGGCCAAGCTCAAAGCCAAAGGAGGGAGATAAGCAGTTATCGCACGCGATGAAGGAAAGAATCGGCAAACGGAGAAAGCCGTTCGAATGAGATGTTGGGCCGACTTTAAGGAAGGTAAATGTGCTTATGGAAAGCTGGGCCAATACCAACATTCAGGAGACTCACATCCAGAGAATCAGAGAATTCTACCGTGACAGAATGATCATAAATATCTTCTATTTACATTTGTGACGCTAATTACTTCTATTAAATGAAGATATACACAATATATACTGGAGTAATATAATATTTTGGAATATTAGATTTTTGTATCTTAGGGGGGTGTCCCCGACACGAATTTTAAATGATTTTAAAGGAGTTTAGAATTCCATCCAAATCCAGGTGTCCTCAATTTAGATTTCTATAGAGTCCATTAAAATCCGGGTATCCTCAAACATTCCATGGAATTTGCTTATTGATTATTTTGATGGATTTTGATAGAGTTTGAAGGACTTTTGGGCCAAAAAATTGAATAACCCATTCCACCAACAATCTCACCTCCACCCCTTGGATTTCCAAATCCATTTTTTAAAAAACCTGCGTCTCTTCCGTCTCTTCCTGCGCACAACTCACGACACATCTCATAAGCCCTTTCCCTTCCATCTTCCAACTACACTCACCATCTTCATCCTTGAAGTATTCTCCAGGTACGATTTTCTCCAACTTTTTATGTCCTCCATATTTTGATGAGTCATACTCTTATCAAGAATCTGTATTTATAGTGTATAATTTCCAGATATCCGTCGTTGATCTTCTCCGGACTGGATTTTTCAGTTTTTTGACTTTGTTGTTTTTTTCTTCTCTTGCGGGTGGGCAAAACCCACAGACGGCAATTATTATTGCTTTCCTCTTCCTAGTTTTTGTGTTTTTCTGCTAACTTTGTGTTTTTAAATTGTTAGTTTTGCTCCCAATAGTGGTTGCTCCCAATAACTTCCGGCAATTGTTTTTTAACTTTGTGTTTTTAAATTGTCAGTTTTGCTCCCAATAGTGGTTGCTCCCAATAACTTTTCAATTTTAATTATTAATTAATTATTAATACTCCATCAAAACTACAAGTGGAAAATAAAAAATTTATTTGCATTTGTTTAAAAACAGACTAGACACGTTTCGTGACAATATCATGCGTAGTTTTGTATGTGAATCTCTCTTTTCCCCTGAATAATTTTCTCCTTTTTACTACGCATTTGTACTAGTGTGTATATTTGTTGACGAAGTTTTTTTAGAGAAACAAACTTACCATAGGAAACAAACTTACGCATCAGTGGACAGAATCACAGACTTCCTCTGAATAACAAATTCTACCATTGAGGAAACTTACGCATAAGATAATTTTGAACAAAGATAAAAACAATTGTCTTTAATAATATGTATGTTTAATAACTATAACTTCTTTGGTAGTTCTACAATGGGTGATTTGCAAGGAAAGGAAAAGGCTGTGTATAATGCATGGAGTACAGAAGAAAGTTCTTTATTACTAGATCTTTTGGTTGAGGCTGCTCAACGTGGATGCGTGGAGTTATATATATAATCTTGTCTTTTGTAGTCTCATGGTGCTCATAAGAGTCTCCGGACGGATACCATTCACGATTATGAAGATTTACAAATAGTAGTTGGGAATGTAACAGCTACAGGAAAAAATTCAGTTGGCTTAGGTGAGGAGTCTGATGCTAGGACATATGATGTTGAAGAGAACACTCAAGCTTCAATAGAAGACTATGTGTATGATGAGTCTCAAGACGCGTACGTCCCAACCCAACAAGATCCAATACACGATTTAACTGTGCCTCCTACATGTGCAAATAGGAGTCCGACTCCCTCAAGAAGTAGTGGTTCTAAAAAGCGAACCAGAGATCAATGTGAAGGGAGCTCTAAGCCAAAAAGTAGCGAGTCTCGTTCTGAATTTAAGACGAAGGTTGCTAGTGGAATGGATTCTATTGCTGAGATTGCTAGTGACATTCGAGGAATGAGGATATTGATGGAAAAGAGGGAGAAAGATAGGGAGAAATATGAGATTGAGAAAAGGGAATTAGAGAACAACAACAACATATGGAATGCTATAAAAGAGACTCCGGGTTTAGATGAGCGCACACGCTACAAAGCCCCTACACTCATATATAAGTTTGGAATGAAAGAAGCTTTTCTCAAGATGTCACCTCAAGAGCGTCAAGAGTGGATAAACTATAACATCGAAAAAGACTATGCTTGATTTAGGAAGCTTTCTTCTCTTTATTTTTCACGAAACTTTTATTTATGATGGAACCTTTCTTGTTGAACACTTTTGTTATTGAACTTTTATTCCTTGCTACCGTTCTATGAAATATTTATACCATCTGATGTTATTTTTGATTACTTATCTCATTTACTTATTCCATTTATTGTTGTGAAAGTTCAATTAAAATGTCATATTCAATGTTTGTGTAGGTTGGATGAAATGGAAGATGAAATGAGGGAAACAAGTAGTGAAGAATTTTATGAGATGTTGAAGTTAATTTTATTAGCTCTTGAAGCAATACTTCAAATGTTGAGTGACCTATTACTGTTAATGCATGAGGGAGAGTATATTGAGCGTCCTACTCGCAAACCTATCACCATCATTGGATTTAATCACATAAACACAGTGTTAACTGAAGATCCTGTGCATTTTAGAGAAATGCATAGGATGTACCCCGATGTTTTTCTAAAACTTTGTAGCATCATTAGGGAGAAAACACCGCTACGAGATACCCGATATGTTTGCGTGGAAGAAATGCTTGCGACATTTTTACTTACGGTTGGTCAAAACAGTCGTTTTTGTATTACACGCAAGACATTTGGTAGAGCACATTCTACGACTAGCAGAAATTTTAACAAAATTTTGAAGGCTTTAAACACAATTTCATGCATGATGATGGTGAAACCGGCAGCTGCTGTACCTAGCAAAATCAGAGAGAGTACACGGTTCTATCCTTACTTTAAGGTAATCATTTACTGCTCATATGAAACTTTAATTTCTTGTTATTATTTGAAAAATATTATTATTTATTTTATCGCTAGGATTGTATTGGAGCAATTGATGGTACACATATACCTGCGATAGTTGAGGGTCGTGATGTGACCCCTTACCGTAATCGCCATGGAAACCTATCACAAAACGTGTTGGCGGCTTGTAATTTTGACTTGGAGTTCATTTATATTCTTAGTGGTTGGGAAGGTTCAGCTCACGATTCAAAATTATTAAATGATGCACTAACAAGAAGAAATGGGTTAAAAGTTCCACGAGGTAAGCGTCATTTTTATCACTATAAGGTATTTTATATTTGTGTCGTATAGTAATTTATCATGTATTTCATTTGTCATCTAGGGAAGAGTTTTCTAGTTGATTGCGGATTTGCAAATCGTCGTCAATTTTTGGCTCCATTTCGAGGTGTTCGATATCATCTTCAAGATTTTGGTGGGCAAGGTCGTCATCCTGAAAATGAAAGGGAGTTATTCAATTTACGTCATGCTTCCTTGAGGAATGTTGTTGAGAGAATATTTGGCATTTTTAAATCACGGTTTGCGATTTTTAAGTCAGCTCCTCCATTCCCATTCAAAACGCAAGTGGAGTTAGTATTAGCTTGTGCAGGAGTGCATAACTTTCTACGCAAAGAATGTCGCTCAGATGAATTTCCTGTTTCTTCAGATGATGAAGACTCTTCAGACGAATCTTTGATAGAAGACGACGAAGATGAAATTGACACTCTCCAAACGCAAGATGAACAAAGGCAATATGCAAATCAATGGAGAAACGGTATTGCACAACAAATGTGGACGGATGTCATCAATGAAGATTACATAGATTGAATGTATTCCTTTTGTTACTTTAGTACGGTTCATAATTGTTTAAAATTGTGCTTTTATTATGGATTAAATATGAATTACGTAGTTTGTTATATTTCAATTTGACGTTTTTCCTTAAATATGATTAGATTGAAGCCAATTTATCATTAACATTTCCCAATGATTTTTTTTTTTAAAAAGAACGAATAATTTTTTTCTCAAAATATTCTGACGACTTTTCCAACGGCGGTTTGCGGCGGCTGAGCAGGTGTGGGAGCTGGGAATTAGGGTAGGGGTTTGCACCGGCTTGTATTTCAAATCTATTAAAATCCATTGAAATCCATATAATTCCATGAAATAGAATTCCATAGAATTCCATAGAATTCCATATCAATCTCATGGAATCCGTAGAATTGCATTAAAATCCATGGAATCTACAATCCTTTAAAATCATTTAAAATCCGTGTTGGGGACACCCCCTTAATTTAACTCTATACTACTTAAAGATTTTAGTGTATGGATTGCCTTCATATTCTCATCGGGTACTGCTATTAGGGGATCATTATATTATAAGTTGAACTCATAACAACCTTTATATTACTTGGAGTTACAAATTCCATAAGATAGTAGTGTAGATCAGCCACAATTTAAAGTTTAAACAAAGGGGAAGCGTATGACTTACCCTGTCTTGATTGGTATCGGTACATTGCATAACACTTTAACGATCGTTTGCCTCGGTTAGTTTCAACAACTCTGATATGATTGGATTGTATGTATGGACTAGTATATTTTTATCATACATTTAACATGCATTAATATAAAAGAAATTGTTCATATTAGATTAAAACATAGACAATTTAATGCGCTAAAATAAGATTAAAAATATATAATTATTTTCTTCTTAAAGTAGAACTTATTTACTTCAATTAAAAGAGTAAAACAAGAAGAATCTTCGATCCAAAAAGAAGTGAATGACTCGTACTAGCTATAGAAAAACCTGCGTTTGATGTGTTTAAAGTTTACATCTTAGTGATCATAAAAATATATTTATAGTAACATGAGTATTATTTTGGTTATATTTTAGAAAAACCCTCTTTAGTTTGTACCTAGTAGTAGACTAGTAGTACTTCGTGAATGCTTATTAGTATCGTGTGGAATCTATAGTTTTAATGTATCGCAATATTACAAAAATGATGTTTCTATTCTAAAGCCTTACTACATGTATAAATGTATTCTATCCATTTAGCTAGCATTGTTCAAACAAAAAATTATCACGCAGCTGTCCAATTTTCATTAATACATGCTACTCCGTATTATATTATTATTATTGTTATTATGGTTATGTAATGGAGTTTGATTTGATGGCGCACTCGTATATTATTCATATAAAATGATATGCTAGTGTGGTTGTACTTAATGTTCGTCAAAGTCGTATATGATCATAAAACTGTACTTCGTCCCTTTATATCGATTTTGAGGTTCATATGATCCGGCTACTTTAATTCCCTAAAAGCGCCTTCAATTGTGAAATTTTTAGTGTTTACAGAAATGATGCATTTTGGTTTTATAATTGATATTTTTCATTCTTTTACTCGAATGTGACAACACAAGCCAATTTAAAAAAATGCGTTTTCTTGGTCCAAAAATGTTGAATGCCCAACCCCAAGGTCCCCCACCCTGACCCGACAGGATGATGGGTAGGTTAATCATGGTGACTCAGACAGCAAAGCGGCGGTAGGCCTTATACACGTGCGCACCAGAGGTTCAGCCTTATTTCAGGTTCTGTAACCTCCACATGGCCGCTGCGGGTTACGAACCTTGGTCACTTGGTCCCATTTTCCCAGCACTCGATCAACTGAGCTACTCGCGTGGGTAAAAAATGTGTATTCTTAATTTCTTTAAATATGCAAATTTTAAAGAACAAAAAGTCACTTAATGTTATAAAATGGAAGGAAATAAGCAGAATATCAGGGAGAGTATATATAGTATGAACACTTAGTGATAGAGGTGTATTAGAGAGTGTGATAATGGTGTAATCAAGATGTGTTAATTACAATGGAGAAGTCTCCTATTTATAGGGGAAAAGCTAAGCTTATTAGGATTAGAGGATAATTGTGAACCACACAATTATCATCTAGAATCATAATTATGATTTCTTAGTTATTTATACAATGGTGATAATAATTCCTAATCAGGAATAGTTGGAAGATGACTAATTCAATTATATTTCAACACTCCCCCTTGAATGGTCATCTTCTAATTATTCTGGGGTATTAGTATCATAGTATTATAATGTACTGTCTCGTTAAAAACCTTTGTCAGGAAAAACCCGATGCGATAAAAACCCGACGAAGGGAAAAAGAGTGCAGTGCATTATATTACTCCCTCTCAATTTTAACATATATCACGAAGACGACACATTCCAATTTTGTGGATCAGTTCTTCAAATTTCTTCGGTGCCAATGACTTTGTGAATAAATCAACAGGGTTGTCGCAGGACTTTATTTGTTTGACATCAACTGTTCCTTCTTTCTCAAAATCATGTATGTGGAGAAAAGTTTTGGTGCTATATGCTTTGTTCTATCCCCTTTGATGTAACCTCCTTTGATCTGAGCTATACATACTGTGTTATCTTCATATATCACAGTAGGATTACAAGTAAAAGATTTTATACAGCATTCATTTTGTATGTGCTGGATCATTGATCTCAACCAGACACATTTCGACCTGCTTTATAGAGAACAATTAATTCTGCATGATTTGATGATGTGGCAGTTAATGTTTGCTTCATTGATCTCCATTAGATAGCGGTATAACCATAGGTGAATACATATCCTGTTTGTGATTTTACCTTTTGTGGATCAGACAAGTACCCTGCATCGGCATAGCCAATTAAAGTGGCATTTGCACCATTCTTGAAATACAATCCAAGATCGATTGTACCATTGAGATAGCGGAATATATGTTTGACGCCATTCCAATGTCTTCTTGTTGGGGAAGAACGGTACCTGACTAATAAATTTATAGAAAAAACAATATATGGTCGGGTATTATTAGTCAAATACATTAACGCTCCAATAGCACTCAAATATGGTATTTCGGGACCAAGGATTTCTTCATCATCTTCACAGGGTCGAAAAGGATCATCATGCACGTTGAGAGATCGAACCACCATTGGAGAATTGAGTGGGTGAGCTTTTTCCATATAAAACCGCTTCAAAAGTTTCTCGGTATAATTTGATTGGTGGATAAAAAATACCATTTCTCAAATGTTCAATTTGAATGCCGAGACAAAATTTTGTTCTCCCAAGGTCTTTCATTTCAAATTCTTTCATGAGATATTTAGCAGTATTTTCAATTTCATTGGGAGTTCCGATTATATTCAAATCATCAACATATACTGCAATTATGGCGAATCCTGATTCAAATCGCTGAATGAAAACACATGGACTAATAGGATCATTTTTGTATCCTTCTTTGATCAAATATTCACTTAGACGGTTATACTACATGCGTCCAGATTGTTTTAATCCATATAATGACTTTTGCAATTTTATGGAAAATAAATCTCGAGATTTCGAGCTATAAGCATCAGGTATTTTAAAGCCTCCAGGAATTCTCATATATATGTCTGTATCGAGTGAACCATATAAATATGCGGTCACTACATCCATTAGCCGCATTTGCAGCCTTTCAAAGACAGACATGCCAATTAAAAATCGTAAAGTAGTAGCATCAACTACTGGAGAATACGTGTGACCAACGTGTTGATGCATCAATGAGCACCATAAAGTATCGAAAGGATCCACACGGAGGGGCAATTGGCCCACAAATATCTCCTTGAATTCTTTCTAAAAATGCAGGAGATTCAACTCCAATTTTGTATAAAGATGACCTGATAATTAATTTGCCAAGAGAACAGACAGTGCACGAGAAATCACTTGATTGTGGAATTTTGACATTATTTAATGAATGTCCAAGTGAATTTTGAATAATTTTGTGCATCATAGTGCTGCCTGGATGACCTAAACGGTCATGCCACAAGATAAAGGAATTGTGGTCATTAATTTTAGATACCATATTTATCTCAATTGGACTGATATATGTATAATATAGTCCGGAGGAATATGCTGGCATTTTTTCAGAAATGTATTTATTGCCAGATCTATTTGTCGTTAGACATAAATATTCCTTTTGATTTTCAGACATGGTTTCAATGTGAAAACCATTTAGACGCATATATTTGAAATTCAAAAGATTTTTCCGTGATATACCGGAGTATAAAGCGTCTTTAATTGTTATTTTTGTCCCTTTTGGGAGAATCACACAAGCTATTCCAGAACCTTCAATAAGTTTAGCAACACCTGAGATTGTATTAACATTAGCATCAACTGATGTCATATGAGAAAAATAATCGCTATGTCTCAAAATGGTGTGCGTTGTGGCACTGTCTATCAAACATTGTTCAAAGACACTTGGAGAAATTTTAGTTAACTCCATATCTTTAAAAAGATAAAAATGAACAAATACTAGTTCAATACTGTAATATAAACAAGAGTTAATTCCCTAAATAGGACTAAAACAATAAACAAATGCACAAATAGGACTTCCATGTTTCATAGGACTAAAAATGTATTTAGTTGACAAAATTGCCCTTAATGATTTCTAATCTATTTACAATTAAAAAAACAAAAAAAAAACCCTAGCAGATCTCCCAGCTTTTGACGGAACAAAACTACCCAACTGCCGCCGCCAATAAACAATCTGCCACCACCTAACTGCCGCCGCTAGAAAAAAATCCGCCACCACCCAACCGCCTCCCTTTTTGGTGCCGCCACCGCTGGCCTTTCCGATGTTTCCACCGCTCTTTCAAATGCCACCACTCCACCCACTGCACGTACAACCATCTCTGTCAGTTTTGTAGATGCAAATTTGCCATTTTGTTACCTAAAAAATAATGCTATATATTAGATTTGCCATAAAAGTGGAATAAAATAAGAATATTTCTGCCATAATATTTATATTAGATTTGTCATAAAAGTGGAAGTATGTTGTAATTGATGTCAAAGTAACTGTTTTTCTGCCACAAAAGTTGGCAAAATATGAACCCAATATACAAAAAATTATAAAAACGAAAGGGATTTCTCATTAAAAAGTTGACAACATAAAAAGATAATTTTG